AAAAAAAAAAAAAAAAAAAAAAAAAGCAAAAAGAAATCTCGAAAATAGGATCTATGAAAGGACGCTTATTTGATAGGGGCAAATAGTAGCTAGTTCGGCCTAGTAAATACATGGGAGCATCTGTACGTTACGTGCTCATCAGTCATTGGTAAGATAGTTAACCATGGTTAAACTAAGTGTATGGACTTTTTACAGATCTGAAAAATCAACGCACGTAAAGTTAAAGCTGTTTGATTTCCTTATGCTTTTCAGAAATAGCAGTAACTTTTAAAGAAACATTCTTATACCCAATAGATATTTATGATATTTCGGTTCGGTTTCGATTCGGTTCTAGTTCGGTTTCGATTCGGTTTGGAATACTCGTTTAATATATAAATCAAATATATATATATATATATATATATATACAGAATATGTTAATTTAAATGATCTAATGTTTACACGCTTACATATTTGTCAATCCAACAAGAATTCGAATCAATAAAACGTTAATTTTATAAATATTTATCGTATTTTAATATAGAAATACTATATATATTTATAATTTAAGAGACTATATAAACAAAATATGGTATGGTGGTAAGACTACTTACTCTTTGAATCCAATCTGGATAATCAACACGGATTCAAGTGGTTTTGATGTCATTTTATTTTATATTAAAAAATTTTAACTAGTTTTTTCGGATATTTGGTTCTCGGTTCAACTCTGGTTCCAGTTCAATTTTTCGGGTATAAAAATATATGAACTATTCGGATATTTAAGAATTTCAGTTTTAAATATTTCAATTTGGTTTCGATTTAATTTTTCGGTTCTGGTTTTATGCCCAAAGATAATAAGAATGATGGATAATAAGTAAATTGATCTATTTTTCTTCCGTTGAATTTGTTTTTGACAAACTTGTTGTACTTATTCTATGATATATAGCTAAAAATTCAATAAAATGAAGACAAGGTCGGGACTAGATCAAATTGCATATACCCATAAGTCTGCTCAGAGAAAGATAAGAGGTACAAAAGAAAAACAACTCATCAAAACAAAACAAAAATGAGACAAGGTATACCCACTACTGGTTTCCAATGAAAACTCTCATTCCATATATCTAAATCTCAAACACATAAGCCTGTGTTGTTGATTTTAGATGGCGGCTGCGATCCTTCCTGCGACTTGATCAAGATCTCTCTGACCACTTGATGTAATCTTCCTTCCCCTGGTTACATCACAATTTAAGTATCATTAGCTACTCAATAATCCCGCAAGTGTAAAGTAACTGAAGCAGTTACAACACTTATACAACCATCTTATCAAGGTTGAGCAATCTCATGTCACAATTGCACCTTTAACCAGTCTAACTAAGAGCCTGTAAATTGATGTATCGTTTTCTGTTGACTTTCTTGTCACTAGAGTACTGTGCTTACACCATATAATTTATGTATTTCTACAATTCACTTGAAGCACCAATAAACACAGATAAGAGACGGTGATCAAGAAGCAACTAACCCTTTAGTGTCAAGGTCAACAATGTTCATAGTCTGAAGCTGCTGAAGAATGTGACGAGCAACACCACCACTGCTCTTGCAGAAATGAGGTGGTCTGCTTCCGTTCCTCTTGCTTCCTCCATAGATCCTACGAAACGCACCAACTCCAAGTCCACCTCTCAAATACACTTTCCTTGCCATCGATGCTACAAAAAAAAAAAAAAGATTACAACTTTCAATCTCAGAAACACATACACTAACTAGTTCTATTCAAAGATGCAAACTTTATAGAGCAAATGTAAAGAATACACTTTCCTTGCCATCAATGCTACATAAAGATTACAACTTTCAATCTCAGAAACACATACACACTAACTAGTTTTATTCAAAAGATGCAAAATTTATAGAGCAAATGTAAAGAATACCCTTTCCTTGCCACATAAAGATTACATTTTTCAATCTCAAAAAACACAGACACTAACTAGTTTTATTCAAAAGATGCAAACTTTATAGAGCAGATGTAAAAAAAATACACTTCCCTTGCCATCAATGCTACATAAAGATTACATCTTTCAATCTCAAAAACACACACAGACACTAATAGTTTTATTCAAAGATGCAAACTTTATAGAGCAGATATAGAGAATACACTCTCTTTGCCATCAAGGCTACATAAAAATTACATCTTTCAATCTCAGAAAACACACAAGACACTAACTGGTTCTATTCAAAGATGCAAACTTTATAGAGCAAATGTAAAGAATACACTTTCCTTGCCATCAATGCTACATAAAGATTACATCTTTCAATCTCAGAAACACACAGACACTAACTAGTTTTATAAAAAGATGCAAACTTTATAAAATAAACATACCGGCTCTGATGTAGTACCAGTCAGGGTCATAAGGAGCAAGCTCCTTAAGTTTACCAGTCTTCACTATATCTGTCCACGGTGGCAGCTCAATCTACAATTAGAGAAGACACGTGTCAAGATTCAATTCATCAAGACTCTCTCACGACGATTATAGTATATACCTTGCCGGAGCGTTTGAGATGGGCAGCGTACGCTTTTACGAACTCGTGTGGAGATACATCCTTCACCGTTTTGCCTGTCGCCGCCATTGTTCCCGCGTCTTCTTCTTCTCCTTCTTCCTGCTTCGTCGACGGCGCGTATAATATTCAAGTGAGTAATTGAGATAAGTAAAATTAGGGTTTTTGAGGAGTTTGTAGTATTTTACATATTTACCCCTTGTGTTTTAGTATCCTGGGCTCATGGGGCTATGAAATATTCTTGGCCCATATTTTGTATATTTATTCACCAAAGGCCCATCTTTTTATGTTATCGGTTCAGATCGGTATGGATTTTTCGGATTTCGGATTGGGGTGTTTTGGAATCATCTAGGAATTGGAATTTGTTTAGAACGGATCGGTTTGGATAATGTCGGGTTTGGATCTTATTTCTATTTTTACTATAAAACTCAAAGTGGAACCGGACTAGAAATAATTCGGGTTTAAAACCCAAAAACAAAAAATAAGAACTGAAAAACCAAGTTAAACCCAAAAAATATTTGGGTATTCGGGTTTTTGGATATATATTTTTTAAATTACATGTTATATATATTAAAAATTAAAAAATATATTTTTATTATATTTAAAATATTTGAGTACAAGTTTGATTTTCGGTTTGGTTTCAGTTTTCCGGATTTAGATTGTTTGGGTTTTTGTAATTTTCGGTTCGATTTTTGGGTTTTGGATAAAATGCCTAAGACTACACCAAACCATCACGCTTCGTCTTTCACCTATAAACCAAAAGTAAAACGTGATGAATGGCATCTCAACATATATTCTGTGATGAATGGCATCTCAACATATATTCTGTTCTGAGCTCAAAGTTTAAAATCTGTTTTGAGCTACTCTTCTGAACAAATATTGCAAATATGAAATGATACTGTCAATTATTAAAATTAACATGGACCGTGTGATAAAAAAAAAAATAAACTACAGCAGACCCAATGATGAACATAGACGTTGTGTGAATAAGCATTTTCTTATTGTGTGGAACACCACAGCCTGCAATACAGAGATTTGGCTTTTTCCAGTAGGTAATAAACTACTTGTTTTTATTAAAATTATCTACCAACCTGTACTCTAATAATACAATGTCTCTTTAAATTTAAATCTCACTATATACGTAGTAATAAGTCTACATGAGCTGAGTTCTCTAATGATGCATAAAAAAAAAACTCTCAAAAAGGGTTTTGAGAAGAGACAAAAGGACACACAACAAGTAGCCACTCTCTCATCTCACCCATCTCTTTACACACATCAACTAGCCAGCCACTCTCTCTCCCTGTGTGCTCTCCACTTTCTCTTCTAGAGATCTCTTTATCTTTCTTTCTTCATTCTTTTTCTCTCTACAGGACATTTTGTCTGAACGCATCTATGGCTGCTGCTCTGGTTCTTCCACTTCTCCTTCTAGCCATGGCTGGCCATTCTAGTAAGAACTTCCACTCTTCCTTCAGATTCTTAACATTAGTCTTCTCTCTCTCTCTATCTTGCTGTCTCAGTCTCAAGCCTTTTGGCTCTGGTTTGAAGTATTCTTGGAGTAGTAGTAGTCAAGGGTCTTACTGTTCTTGAATGTTTTACCATTGATAAACAGATTAAAAGTTACCATTTATTAGCTATTTAATAGTTATGTCTTCTTGACATCCAGGCTGTATTGTTAGTTTCTCTTTGTTTGAATAAAGAAAAAAAGTTTCAAGATTTGTATGTTCTTGTCTCATTTCATTTACATTTTCTTTTCTTGAAGACATTTGAGGTGAGTTCTTACAACTTCTTGCTAAATTTGTCACCTCTGTTTCTGATAATTTTTAAAAAAAAATTAAAACTCCTCAAAAGAGTTCAAAGTTTTTTTGTTTACCACAGATCTTGTTGGCTTCACATTATAGAACAATGAATATGAAGGCTTTTGTATTGATTCAACCACTAAATACTGTCACATTTTATTTTGGTCTATGTAGGTGCCTCATGGTGTGTGTGCAAAACAGGGCTGAGTGATACAGTGCTACAGAACACCCTAGACTATGCCTGTGGAAATGGAGCAGACTGTAACCCCACTCACCCAAAAGCACCTTGCTTTAACCCTGACAATGTTAGGTCTCATTGCAACTATGCAGTCAACAGCTTCTTCCAAAAGAAGCACCAGGCTCCAGGCACTTGTGACTTCAGTGGCACTGCCACTCCAACTAACACTGATCCAAGTTAGTCTCAGCCATCCTCATCTTAATGCTCTTTGGTTTTCTTTAGTGCTCAGTTGATAGTCACAGAAAGTTGAAGGTTTATGTTTTTTGTCACAAGTGAATGATTCTTGTATTCAAGATTCTAAGACAATATGGATATGCCAAATGCATGATAAAGACTCATTTCAAGCTTCAACTCTGTGGATAATCATCAATGTATTAATGTTTTTGTGTTTGTTTGTTCTTTTCTTTTACAGGTTATTCAGGATGTACATTCCCTACTAGTGCCAGGTATACTTCTGATTCAAATGGCTTATCAAGAATTTGTATTGCATTTTTGGGGACCAAATACAAGAATTTGATCAACTTTTTTTCTATATTTGTGGCACTAAAGCTTGATTTGGGTCCCAAGTTTGCAACTTTTTGTTTTCTCCTCTTTTTCCTTTTTGTTATGAAATAGATAGCATCATTCAAATCAATTAAAAATAGCAAACATTATCTTTAATGTTACTTAATCCGTAAAAAGAAAATAAAGATTTGACCCCATTACTTCTTTTTAAGACTCATGAACCTAAAAGTACTCAATTTCTTAAACCAAACTTTAGATCTTATCTATATAATCTATTCAAATGATTTGTTAGATAACAATTTGAACGCATGATCAGTGTTCTTGGGACTGATATGACCTATCAAAGACCCTTCAGTTATTAGAAACTGAGACCCTTCTTTTTGCTAAACTTTTTGACTATATAGCATGAATTTGCTTTGAAGTTTCATCAAGGTGTGGTTATAAACTCATCATGCCAGCGTCCTTAATGCCTCAAAAGTTGTGGTCACTTGTCTGATATTCTCTTTTATGTATATTGTTCCTTTATTTTCTTTTCTACAGTGGCTCTAGTAGCTCTAGTGGCTCTACGGGCAGCACCACTATGACACCAGGCACAACCAATCCAAAAGGCAGCTCAAGCAGCACCACATTTCCTGGTGGCAACAGCCCTTTTTCAGGAACCTCAACCAATGGAGTTTTTGGAAACAATAGCACTGGGATTAACCCGGACTACTCAACAACAGATAGCAGCGCGTTTGCACTCAAGAACTCAAGCAAATTCCTCACCTGCCTTCTCTTGATCGCTTTGAGTGTATTCTCTTCTTTCTTGATCCTTTAAGAATGTTAATGTTCTCTGGTTTTTGTTGGTGCACCTATTGTCTCAAATGACATTGAGTCTAGCTTAGTGATAATCTATGTCTGTCTGTTCTGAGTCTCTCTCTATGTTATGGTCTTGTTATAAGAAGATTTCATCTCATGCTTTCACTTTTACCTCTTAGCCAAGAAAGTTATATATAAATGATCTTATCTTCTGATTACTATATTAGAATCAATGATGGAAAGTTTGTAACTAGTTAACATACTTGAATACTTCTAATCTCTTATTTCCATTTTGATAATAATTTTGGAAAACGTTGAAGAGAGTTTCGAGTCTTTAAGCTCTTCTTGACACGACAGCTCACTAAGTCACTCTCTTCCAAAACGTTCAGCCCTCGTGTGTTCTTGTCACTGTCTTTTCTCACACTTACACTCTGATTCCGTATAACGGTATACGACAGCCAAATAGGACAAGCACAGTGTCAGTGCGACTGTGTGTGGAATCCCCTTTATGCCCTTCAAGCTTTTTATCGACTTATAAAAGATCAATGCACATGAGCTTCGCGTGTTATTCATAGTGCATGAGGGTTCGAAATCCTCTGTCATAGTTAGAGTCTCGTGTTGAACTAAATATCCTTCTCCTTCTTGAACCAAAAACCTCTTCTCAAGAACTTGAGATCCTGAACTTCCCTTAAGCCATTCATAGCAATATTATAAGGAAATCCGTTGCATTACAGTTAATACCTTCATCGCTTTCACGTTATTCTCTTGACCGAAGATTATGTTTACCATAATCCAAATATCGAATCATATGGTAACAGAATACAAAAGCGTATACACTCATGTCACTTTGTAAAGAATAACTTCTTATGTATTCGCTACTGTAGAAGGTTAATAATAGTACTCCTTCAGTTCTCCCCAAAAAAATGATTTTTTAGACTTTTTTTTTCTCCACAGATATAGATTTTTTAGATTTTACGGGATTATTACTGATTGATGTCTTAAGTTATACTAGATTTTAGATTTATATCCGCGCAACTTTGCGTATGTTTGATTTATTTATACGTAGATATTGATTTGACATTATTAGTAGTACATATTTTTTTAATTTAATCATATATTTAAAATTTTATATAGATATTTCATATACAATAGTTTATAGTTTACATGTCGTAATTAATTTTTTTGTTTCAAACCATCACATATATTTGTCACTTATTATTATATATTTATCTTGTTAGATTTGCATTTGATTATTAAAAGAATCAGTATGTGCATAAAACAACATATTAAAAATAAATTATGTTTTTTACCCGCACTTCAAAGTTTTGAACTACGTTTTAGTATTTTATATGTTTTTCATTTTAGATAAACTATTTTTATATATATAAAAAATAAGATATGTTAATTTGTATACATATATAATATAATTTAGTCTATTAATCCGTTTTGCTAACATAATTATATTCTTTTAACAAAAATATTTATGTTTAGGAAAATAAAATAAATTAACTCATCAATTTTAATATAATTTTATTATATTCAGTTAAGAATAATATTTTTTAATAAGAAAGAATATTATGATTATAAAATATGATATATTTTGTTATTTTTCATTTAATAAATGGTAATCGAATATATATATATATATAGTAAAGTATACTAATATTTTTATTAATTACAAAATTAGTAAACATATTTACATAATATTTTTAAATTGAGATCTTTTGAAAATCTTTCTCAGTATATTATTAGAATTTTAAGATATCTATTATATTAAAAGAAAAGTCACAACTCTCTTCATGTGGGATTTTTTTTTAAGTTGGACCATCTCCTAAACAATTGCTTTAATATATTTTTCTATTTACAAAATAATATCATAACAATAATGTGGTTGCATTTTAGTTTTTCTTTCCCTAAAAAGTGATTAAAGTATTTTTAATAAAATCTTTTCCTGATTTCATTCCTATATATATGCTTAATTTTAATGTGTGATATAAATTTTATTGATTTAATTCTAGATAAAATATAACCATGGTTTTAACTAAAAGGATCATATTATAAACAATATCTTTTAATATAGAATTCAAGAGCACTATAAAAAATATTATTTATATAGCCTTTTAGATCATATGATACAAAAAAATATAGGACATTATAAATGTAGATAAAAAAAGGGGGTAAATATGCAGTAACATAGTTTATAATGCTTTTATATTTTTATATTTTGAACATTCAGTACGGATTGATATATCTATAATAATATTTATTGCTACTCTTATACTTTTTAGACTAAATTAATCGGCACATACACAGTGATATATAAACTTAAATAATTTAAGCTACTCTTCTATTTTTAAAAATAATATACTAATAATTTATAGAATAAATATACCAATTATTTCACAGCTATTTGATCCTACATTTGGTATATATAAAAATTTCTTCATATAAATTTTAAATAGATACCACAATGTTTATAAAATTAAATTTTGAACAGATGGGTGCATAAATGTAATCAAAGATATCAAATAATTAAATTTAAAAATAAATAAATAAAAAATTTGGTAAATGTAAGAAACATGATCAACTGACAAACAAAATATGTAATATATCATTGTAATTATTGGCTTAACAACTTAAAATAAAATCATTTTACATATATAAAAATCTTAAAATAATATGAATAATCAAATTAAAATATTAAAATATTAATCAAATAAAAATTATATTGTAAAATTAACGGTTGCGCGGATTAAAATCTAGTTTATATTTAAAGTTAAAAGATATCAATATATTATGATTAACAAAAAGATCATATTATTAGTCACACATAAAAAATATCATGACTTTTATTTTTAAATGTAGATATAAACTTGTAGTTCTGAAAATAATATTAAACGTGTTTAGTAAATTGGTTTGATATCACAACTCGAATGATATTGGGTGTAGAGTGCAACTAAAATAATGGGGATGATTGGTTGAATTGTAGCTGTAAAAGTTTTACTGTAGAAATTAGCCTGTAGAATTTTTTGATTTAGTTGTAAAAGATGTAGTTTTAAAATTTATTGGTACAACATGATATTGTTTACAGCAAAAAAGATGTGACTTTAGAAAATAAAGGTTTTACAACCATTTTTTTTAGTTTTTAGCTGTAGCTTTAGAAAATAAGATAAAGCATGATTGGTGATTTAAGTGTTGTAGATAAAAATTAAAGCTAAAGTTAGCACTTACAACTCAACCAATCACCCCCAATATCTTTGAGATAGGTATATTTAGTGTTATATGAATGTATCGTTTAAATAAATTTGTGTGTAAAGTGCAATTTAAATAATATTAGATTTCTTAAATAATCTACAGTAAAATTTATACCAAATTTGTTAAAATAGATAGTAAGTTTGATCTAATAATTAGCTAGTGTATTCGGTTAATATGTATGCAATGGATTAGAAGCAGAATGATGATGTTTATTATTGCTCGTGAGACTAAAATTTTAATGATTTTTTCATATTAAATAAAAATCTAAACATAGTTATGATCTATGTATTTGTAAGTGTATTAATTAAATCTGAAAAGTTGTTAAATAATATATTTTGGTTTGGAAAGATATTTATTGTTAGGATGATATTAGCATAATAATAAAATATATTTAATAAATTTTCTAAAGGATGGTCCACTTAAAAAAACACACATGAGAAATGACTTGTGATTTTTATTTTAATTTTATAGGTTTTTCTAAAAAGTAAATTAAAAATATTTTAATTAATTAAATGACATTTGTTAATAATTATCAGAAACTATAAAATATAAAATATTTACATATAAGTGAGCACTCTATAAATTATTTTTTTAGAACAGAGGGAGTATAATTTACAATACATGTTTAGATTAGGAAGTCTTCTGTACAGTCCATTTTTCTATAAGCTAACAAAGAAAGATAATATGACATTTTGGAAATAAAATCCAAAAAGATTCAGTTTATGCAGCTAGTCAAATTAGTGAAAGAAGAATAGAGACCAGAGAGAATTAGCAAAGAGTGTCGCGTCAATAGCTCTGATAGAATGGCAGAAGAAGAAAAATATCATTATTACATATGGGTTTTATGTGAGTTTCAAAACAATAAGGGGTCCTTTCATATTTAAGTGAAAGGTATGGGCAGTTACTGTAAATTATTCATTTTAAAATATATTTCTTCCTCCGTGTGATTTTTTTAACTCTATCCTCTCTCTCTTTCACTGGTCCCTCAAGTCCCCCCCACACCCCACCTTCCTCCTTCAACACTCTTTCTCTCTCTAAAAAAACCCTTTTCTTTCCCTCTCTCTCTAAAGTTCCAAACTTTCCGTCTAATTTTCTCATATTAGGGCTTTGATCATCACGAAACAAACCCGCAACATGGTATGTAGAACTGTAGAGTCAAATGTCTCTGTTTTTTTTTTCTTCCTATGCTCTGCTTTCGTTGTTCTCTGTTTTTATTTCACACTCCTTGGATTCCGTAGTTTGCAAGCTAGGTTTTTATTTGAGCTCTTCTTCTGTTGATGTTAAGAAGGTTTCGTCTTGTGTATGAACAGATTACGGATTCTACCTGCATTTTTGATATCACGCGTTTTGGACTTAAATGGGTGTAAGGTTTTTCAATCTAGGGTTTTTTTAATTTTTGCTACTTATAGTAAACATGTAAATGTCTCGTCTTTATCAATGGGTTTCTTCTTGATTCCATAAAGGATTGAACTTTTGTTATGTGTGAGCTTTGCTTTACTGTACATGTGTATAACTTCTAAGTTGTGTTCTTTTTGTTTGTCATGAGTTCTAACTCGTTCGAGTCTATGAGCGCTTTGCTGAGTTCAGAATCATATTTGCTTAAATCTCGGTGATCAAAAGATTTTTAGATTTTTTGAGTCTCTTGTTTGAAGTGTAGTACTTGATCTAGTCTTACTTGCATGTTTATACATCACGCTGGGGGCAGTGATGCATAATAATTAGGTAAATAAGAGTCTTTACAATGTTTTTGTTAAGGAATCAAGAGTTAACGAAGAAGAATATAGTTGTAAAAGATTCTGCATACAACTATGGTTATGTGTCCTATTATATGTGTTCATTGTCTTTAGGTTACTTTACCTATACATCTTTGTTTGCTTCCCAGATTGGTTTGTTTGTTTTGCTGATGGCTTTCTTTTGTTTCAATCATTGTAGAAGCCAATTTGTGAAACATGTGGAAGCCAAGGATGGAAAGGACTACTTGTAACTTGCTCTAAATGCCGTATAGCTTGTGAACACCGGTGAGAAGTATTATCATAACTCCTAATGTTCCCTTGAGTGTTGTTGCTGTGGATTTTAGACACATTAAAAGCTTTTTGGATTTACTTTCCTTATCTCATTTCAGCTTTATAACGGCTGTTTTTTTAATAATCTGACCCTAAAATTCATTTTTCTTATGTTTGTTTTTCTAGTTACTGCATGAATAAAGTTTCATTTGAGGCCTCAGTAGATTTTGTATGTGCTGATTGTTCGAAGAGACCTGTTCAAAACAGATTAGCTTCACCGTCCATCAAACCAGCTCCGAGGATTCAAAAGAGTAAAGGGAGGGTTGAATCTTCAAATCCAGTTCCTAGATGGAAAAAGATTCCTGAATCATCCAAAATGAGGTTGATCTCACCGGAGGAAGTCAGAAAACTTTCATCATATGGTGGCAATAGCTCGACTTTCAAAGTGCCAAAGCCTGTTTCATCAGCTCGTTCTCCAACGAGTTTAACAAAGCTTGCTTGCTTCCCAAGATCCAGGAGTCTGAATTCTACAACCGTGGTGGCTCGCAAAACCAATCACATGCTCTCTCCGCCTAGAAATGTTGAGCCTTTTAGGCCACGTATTTTGCAGATTCGTTCAGGAGTCATGCAACAATCTTCTAAACGACAAGCAGTAGTAGAAGAAGGTGGTATCATTGAGCTCTTTTCTTTTCCTTTGCTTGAGGCCTAAGATCCTAAGCTTTTGCTTTTTTTTTTTTGGCTTTTCAAGGGTCTAAACTGAAAGCTGGTGGTGGAGGTAAAGATCTTGCTTCAAAAGAGATATGCAGATCAATCTTATCAGAAAAGCTGTTGCAATTACTTCCATATCGACCAGCTCTTCCCCCTATTTGGAAGTGAGTTACTAATCACTTCTAACCTATGCCTTCTTAGGGTTTGTTACATTGCTGAAGATGTGCATATTTGTTTATAACTATTAACTCTTTATGTCATTAAACCAGGGGACGCATTGTAGATTCCGCTACACCATCAGAGTTTAATGGCATGTTTTGGGCTCAGACGGCTTCTGTAATCCATGCGAAGGCTTACAAACTTTCAAAGACGATTCCTGCTTTACTCAAGGTGGAATTGGTCCCTATAGGAAGTCTTTTGAATGACTTGTTTGTGAATAGAAACCCAGCGCTTTCAGATGTAGAGATGTACATTTTCCCGGATGACAAGAACACAATAAGGTATCTTAAGCTTATAGAAGACAAATGTGATCACAAAAACTTACGGTTTTTTTAATTCAGGTTTAAAGAGGAACATGCTTATCTCTTTGAGACCATGAAGAGACGCAATGCCATGATCAGAGTTAACGTCAAGGACACACCGTTCTTGATATTCTCTTCAAAAGTGTTGGACAAGTCCTCTCAGAGTAAGCCTAATGCATTCTTCTTCCATCCTACTTTTCTTTTTTGTGTTATTGCCATTGGTTTTGAGAATGGAGAATGTTTGGTTTGTGTTTGTAGTTATCATCGAGATGCAGAAGAAAACAAAGAACTTCCTTTGGGGGATCTTTCTCGTGACGAAAAAGTCATTAGCACTTGTTCCTGGAACTTCCAATCAAGCTGCTCAACGTTCTGATGATGGAGATGTGGTTGACAATGCTGCTAAAGTATGCTACTACCTTCTCCTTTTTGTTTTCTAAAGTCAAGAGACCCTTCAATTATCAGAAAATTACTAGTGGATTCATCTTCGAGTAATTGTTCTTGACTCTGACGTAGTGTGTTTTGCTTGTTTTTTCATATACTCTGGTGAAATCAGCGCCGATCCAGGGAGAGAGTTTGATGGATGCGGGTCGTGTTTGCATGTTGTCTGAAGATAATTGGTAATAGCTTTGTTTGCTACTCTATAGCTGTGCTCTTGTTTGTTGTAAGAAGTAATAAAATCAGGCCTTGTTGTTACTTTCACCTCCTGATGATAGTTTAATGTTTGACTTTGTGAGTATTTGAACTGTTAATTTTGTTTATGTCTCATAACAGGCAATCACTTTTAAAGCAAAAAATAACCATTAAGTACTATATTTATTAGCATACGTTAGGGTTTCTCTTTAAATTATTCCTTACAAGATGTTATAAGTTGGAAATGGGTTTGGTTTGAGTATTGTTTAAAAATAAAATATTATAAGCTGAGTTTCGGGAAGTAGCAGGACACTAGTATTGAAGCTCGTCTTCGTTCTTCAGAAAGAAAGAAAGAGCAAAAGCTCTCGAGAAAACGATCATCTTCTTCAGTTTAAGGCTTTAAGCCACTGAGCTTTGATCGATACTAACGGAGGACAACGGAAGTGGACACTATGGAGATCACAAAGAGACCTTTTACTTGTGTGGCAAGTCAGTTTACTAGCTATGAGTGAAAAATAGACTTCTTTGATGGTCATTTGCTTCCCCTAACTTGTTTTGTTACAAAAACTGATACGTATATGCTTTGGAGACGGCTTATGTATACAACTTCATTAGTTTGTCAGAAACTAAACTCAATGTCTTAATTAATGACATATCACTCAAATGTCTTTTTTTTTGTCTAAGTGCTTATGATATTATAAATTATGAGGAAGATTACATAGACGATATTATAGTCGATAATTCTACCTATTTTACGTGGATTCACGTCTGAGTACATCACCATGAACCGTCATATGAGATCCATTTCAGACATATCTCTCAAATGTTATTAGGGGAGATATGGACGATGCTACATGTAGTTGTGTGTTTAGTCCATTGAGCAAATTACATGGGACATATTCAAAAGATATTTTTAGTTGTATACAAATGTTTTGGAGACAAGTAACAATCATGAGTTGTGACAAAATTAGACATATTTAATTTCGTTTAACTAAAGATTAACAATGATTCTGAAATAATGAAATTATCTAGATTATTTAATTTTGATAAATTACGAATTTTAGATAATTAATTAAATAAGTTTATATCAGGTTCCAACGAATTAAGATTTAGAAAAACCAAATCTTTATTCTTTTATTAATTTTCTAACATGGTCCTCTCGGTTTATAAGAAGATGAAATCAAGATTTGAGTTTTAGGGTTCTTTAAGAGAGAAAACTGCATCTTTTTCTTCCGTCGTTTCCACATCGGAACAACGTTTCAGGCTGTATCCACTGAAGATCCATTCCAGAGCAATAACCGATGGAAAGGCGAAGCGAAAACAAAAATCAATCCAAAAGTTCGTATCTTTCCTCAAAGAAAGGAATTCAAGAATCCAGAGTAATGCTTAAAAAATCTTAATCTTTACTTACAATTCTTTATGTTGGTTTGTTGATTCTTTGGTTTACATTTAAGGTGATTAGTGAATATATATATATGTGTGTGTGCGTGTTAAAGATTTGTGATTGTGACTACTTGTTGTCGTTTTCTTGATTTTCAATCTTTTCTTGAAATAATCCGGGATTATATGTTAGAAGTATTGACTTTTAGAACTGTTTCATGATTTGTTAGAGTTGATGATTATGAGAATTGTGCTTTTTTTTTTATTATTTCTCTGTATTATGTTCTTGAATTGGTTCTTGGCTAAACTGAAAAACACTTACTTTCTATGTCCTTTCAACTGATTCTGTTTTTGTTGCTATGGATAGGAGGAGCCTTGTGAGGTATGTGGAAGTGTGGGCATTGCTGGTTTGATGATGATTTGTTTCAAGTGCAGACATACTCGCGAGCATACGTTAGTAATGATGCTCTGACCAACAAAACTAATCCTGTCTTTATCCTCAAATCGTTGATCTTCTCTTATTGGTTTTGTGTGTTTTTTCAGTTATTGCGCTAAGGCGTTTTTACCATCTGTCCCTGACATTTGGCTATGTGAAGCGTGCTGGTTCCCATCTCGCGTATTCTTCATATCTAATGTTGCTGAGGATCTAATGGATTTAGAAACCACTGTTGCTGATCCAAAGAACACTAACAATTCCAGAGTAGATGATCATGGAGCTGCTAAGTTAAGAACTAATGATATGGAAGATGTTGTAGTAGCAACAAGAGACTCTAGTTGTGAAATCTCTGCAAATGTCAACTCAGTGATGCATCTACCTTCACAGCCACTAGGTGATGAAACTTATCTGATCTATTAATCAAGTACTAGAAGAAGGAGTGAGTCTTTATGAGGTTCCACTTTTTTCTTTTGTATGCAGTTAAAGAAACTTTGTCATCTCATAACAAGGAGCAGCAGCATCAACCAACTCAGGCCTTTCCTAAAAAACGCAGGACGATTCGGGTGATGGGCAAACACCTTTCACAGTCACATGATCAGACTCTGATCTCTCCTCTAGATCAGTCTTTAACAGGAGTGCCTCACCAAAGTGAAAACCAAGAACACGTCAGCTGATGAGTAAGCTCCTTAAAGACATTAAGTCAAGTCAAGTATTCTATACTGTTAATCTTTATAACTTGAACTCTGTAAAACTAACGCATCTGGTCTTGTTGCAGGTACAGAAGCAACGATTAGTACATAGGCCAAATCTTGTGTATATATATGATGGTGATACAGTTGTTTTATTTTCCTTGGATAACAAGTTACTCACAAAAGTGAGATTGCACTTCTTTGATTATCATTTTGAGACACACTGAACGTATATTCTTCTTCTTGATTTACTTATCTTTCCTTGCTACAAACAATACTCTGTGAAGAAAAACAATTAATCTAAAGTTGTATTGTTTAAACGAGTTAAGTAAAACATACTCCTATCATTTTCTTTTTATTTTTCTTCATGTAATTAAGATGTTAGTTTACTGTGAATTTATAGGTACATGTGTATCCCTTAAGGACTAAGGACCCATTACAATCTGACCAAAGCTTTGCTGAAAAAATTAAAGGTGAACGTGAAGTTTCGCAGAAAGATGATAGAGCTGTGTTGATGACAATATCTTGGCTCATTAATCGATGTTTACCATATATAGAAACCTACGTCTGCCTTTTTCTTACACTGATGGGAGGGCATTCGGTTTTCGGTTCGGTTTCGGTTCGGTTAATTCGGGTTTCGGATTTTTCGGTTTTCGACTTCAGGTAACCAAACAGGAACCGCCCAAAAATCGGTTCGGATCGGTTCGGTTTCGGTTCAGATCGGATAATTACGTCAGGAACCGGTAACTACCCAAAAATTATCGGATCCGGTTTGGTTCTGGTTACTTTTGTACTCAATCTACCCAAAAGTACCCAGAATAACCGATCTACCCGAATTACCCAAAATAAAAAGTATCCAAATTACCCAAAAAGTACTTGAAATACTTAATTTTCTTTTTTTAAAAACATTTAAGTTTATAAATATTGTTTAATTTTAAAATTATAACTAATGAAATGTGAATATTTTAGTATTTATTTCAAATGTAACTAAATATTTTTGGATTTATAACATAATTCAAATATTTTAGTTATTTAACATCTAAATATAAATAGTATTTTCATATATGTATTATATTTCGGGTACCCAAAAGTACCCATTCGGTTATCGATTCGGTTCCGGTTCGGTCCGGGTACCCATAATATTTGTAAACAGGAACCGTTCGGGTTACTGTGTTTTCTAGTCCGGTTTCGGATCGGATAATTTCGGTTCGGTACGGTTCGGTTTTTCGGTTCCGGTTAATTTTGCCCAGGCCTAGATGGGACCAGTTGGTAAAACCAAATATTGTAAAGGAGTTATTTTCACTCAGAGACACTTTTAAGTTTTTTATTACAGTATAGAGCAGTTATTGCTCTTAAGATAGTTTATTAAAACTACAAGGTAACTATTTCTTAACTATGTACGTTTCTAAAACTAAATGGGTCCTACCATTTTTAATTTTATTTGTCATTCTTCTCTGTAACATGGAAACAGTTTTTTCTCTCTCTTCTGTTACAATACTTTTACAAATTAAAGAAGATGAAGATAAAGAAACTGAGCGGCTGTCATCTGAACATAATGTTAGTATGAACAAAACTCTTGCCACAAAAATTTCACATCTTCTCCTACTTTACCGAAGTCCAGATCTGACGTAATTTTCGTTGCCATCTCTTGTGACACGTTGATTCATCTCATCATCTCTTCTTTTGCGATTTAACACCATTTCCGACGTCGTTACCTCATTTCTCTCACCATCACGACACTAAGCTCGAGAACATCAATGGCTACTTTTGATTTTTTTTTGCAATTTTGATCCTTAACATTTTGTATAATTTCGTTTTTAACCCAAACCTTATTAAATTATGCACATTTGGTCCTTAATATTTTTCAATGTTATTTGATATTTTTCAAATTAAGCTATTATGTACTACAACTCTCTGTTAATGAAATTAAGCAATATATACACATAATTAAATGCATTATAAAATAAATTAAATGAGCTAAACTTAAAGCTAAAAATCATTAGAGTATGTACACCATTTTCAGTTTAACTTGATCTATTTATTATGTATATTGGTATTTTTTTAGTAAGCAATAACCAATTTACCTATGTGTACAACTTCTTTACATATATTGGTTAATTTTTGATGTACATGTGTACACGTTTCAAAGAGTACATGAAATAACCTGTCTAATTGTCTTAAACTTCTATTTTTCATCCTTATGTGTACACGTTTCAAAGTGTACACATGGACATCATATGGTTGTACACATTTTGAAACATGCAAAATTATCCAATTAGATAGTGCGATATTATGGTAATATGTACACATATTTAAAATGATTTTAAGTAACTTGTTTTAGTTCGTTCATATCATTTTGGAATGCATACATTGAATTTGTTTGTTAAGTATGCATATCACATGGGATAAAACTTAAAATTTAGAACTTCATGTGTACACATATATTATTGTCCACGTGTACCCTTGTTTCACACAAAAAAACTTAAGTATACAGATTCATTTGCACATTTCAGAAATTATGATATATGATAATTTTAATGAATATATTTTTGTAATTCACTTAGATCAATTTAGGTTTCATATTGGTTGTATATATAGTATTTGTTTGTTCATTGCATATCACAAAGAAAAAAAATGTAATTTTGGAAGTTTTAGGGTCAAAAATGAAATGTTGCAAAATCTGAAGGATTGGAAATGCAAAACGCCAAAGTCTTCCACCAAAACAATGGCTAGTTAGATTTCATATTTTGAAATATGGGGGTCATTTAGATATGATGTATCTGCATATCAGAGAGTTTGAGACAAAAATAAATTTAACCTAAATATCCAAGGACTAAATGTGCAAATAAGAGAGATTTGACCATTGTTGCTTGAGCTTTCTCTCTGCTAGGATAGTTAGACGATAGCTGAGATTGTGATGCATAAGTTGACAACGGCTGAGATCCACCGAGGAGCTCAATTGAAGTAGATGATGAAGAAGATGACCATGGTTAGAAGCTTTCACGATGGATTTAAAATGGTTAATACCAGAAATTAAAAGTGACTTGATAATCTCCAGATCTATCTTTAAAGTAGAACCTTGCATTTCTGTAATGGAAATTAAAACCAAATGGTTCAAACAAAAGTAAACAAAAACAAAAATACAAGAAACAACATAGTTGTTGGTCTGATTCTTCTCAATTCCAAAGAAGTCAACATATATTGTAATTGAAAAGTTTTTATTGTTGAAGAAACGACAAATGTATGTTCGTTGGAGAAGAGACCACAATCTCTCCAGAAATGATATTGACCTTTCTTTTAGTTTCGAGAAAGACAAAAGACAAAAAAAAAAACAAAAGATAATGAGAGAGAAGAAGTGGGACCATCTACTAGTTACAATTTATTTTGGTTTCAACTGTAACAACTCAACATAAAAGAAGAAAGTTAAGAAAAAGTACCCTAGTAGCAATAACTGTCTTTTAGTGTTATAAAACACTTAAATCTGCCTCTGAGTGTAATATTTTCTAAAGTACTCGTTTCAAATGTCATATTTGTTTAATGTGAAATACATCAATATTATTTGAACCTTAAAAATAAAATAGTATAGAAGCAAATACCATCCATTTCTTGTTGTTTTCATCGTTTGTCCAAGGTTCTAGTTTGTTATATCAAATCAGTGTTTCTCTTAAATCTTAAGCTTTTGTTTCAATTTCTTGGTGTTGTGTGTGTTCTGCTTCCCTTCTTTAGGGCATGGTCTTCAGAAGAACTTGTTTTTTTTTTTGCTGGCTATGTATTCCACAAAAGCATACTCCTGAAGCAAATTTATAAAACAAAAATTTGTGATTGGTTAAACTTTTAACATAAAAATTGTTCACTAGGGATTACCCTCTCATCCCATGTATGGATTATCAATTGTTACTAAGAGCACCTCTAATGGAGGTTGTATTCATTGGAGTTTTAAAAATGAATATATGTATCTATTATATATGTGTATATAGTTGTGGGGTCTACTAAATAGTATAGAATAGCCCTGCGACTTCGGTTAGTCGGTTCGGTTCGGGTCGGTTACTTCGGTTTCTCGGTTAGTTCGGTAATGGAAAAATCTGTTGAAAATAACCGATTTGTAAATCGGTTCGGATCGGTTTGGTTTTCGGTTTTTTTTTTCGGAATTGAAGTTAGAAACCGAAAATACCCGATTTCAATTTTTTAAACCTCAAAACCGAAAAAATCGGGTATTTTCGGTTATTATCGATTAGTCGGTTAATCTCGGGTTAGCCTTATTTTCGGTTTCACCTGAAACAAAACAAAAAACGTTAGTGCAATGGAAAAAAAAACAACATAAACATATAACATTCATCGTCCTTTCTCAATCATCATAACCAAAAAATCAAGCATTCTGTTAATGAATCTACAACTCTATGTGATGAACACATATCCAAAGAGACATAGATTCATTATTCATAGATACATCAAACATAAAGTCCAAAAAAGATTGAGAACATCCCAAAAATAGAATGAGGGACCAAAAACAAAACACATCATCATCCCCTCAGTCTCGAATCTGAACCTGCAACTTGTAAGATTTTTAAGAAAATTAAAAACAGATCACTAGAACACAAAGGCACTGACGTAACAAAGGGAAGAATGTACCTCTACTGGTTCGTTTCTTCTCCTGAGTCTGGCAGTGGTAGAGCCTCTACACAATGAGAAAGAGTGAAAGACAGTCAATGATCTTCAGAAAAATACATTAGATACATGCAAAGAAGAGTAAAATGCAAAAACAATTACCTAAAGAATCATGGAAATCAAGTTCTTCAAACATCTGACTCAAACTAGCAAGTTTCTCTGCATTGATATTATAACGAAACCATTGTTGTGTGCAGACCAGTGCTTCAATCATAAAGGGAGTGAGGCAACTGCAGAAAGGATCCAGAATCCGCCCACTAGTACTGAAAGCCGACTCTGAAGCCACAGAAGAAACTTGAAGCGCAAGAACATCCTTTGCTAGCTTTGATAATATTGGGAACTTGACAGAATTACGCTTCCACCATGATAGAACATTGTAATCAAACCCCATTTTGTTTGAGTTTCTTGGCACAGGCCTTTCCATCAGATATATATCAAGCTCACTAGAAGACTCTTCATTTGCGGCCTCAGAAACCATTTCAGAATATAAAGAATCCCTCCCCTCATACTCCTCCTCGTCATCAGACATCTCAAACAGCGCAATTGTTTCCCCATCATCACTCATGTTTCCTCCACCACTATCACCTTGAGATGGTGGA